TACCCTTTATGGTAACTTAATTTAAATTCCTTAACAGCAACTCAGATGAACCTGCTGGGTTGGTCGGCTCTCCCGTGGTCACAGGATTGTCAGGGTCCAGTCGTTGTCATCGTTCCTGCAATTGTCACAGTAGGTCTTCGCTGAGGGATTGAAAGGACAAGCCTCCTCTGTCCTGCCTCAGTTTCGCCACCTCCGTTTTTGCACACTCGCTAGTGAGAGCGGGTACCCTAGGTGCATTCTTATGCTGAACCCAACCTTGGGAGATTATTGTCGTGTTCTATTATATTATAGTATATTCTTGTGTCCAGCTGAGGCCGTGCCTTCTCATTGGCTTAGCAGGCTCTGCCATTGCGCCCATCCTCTTCGGCACCCTGGCGCAGTCTCGGGCTAGATTGTATATAGGGGTTACGCTTGAATTTTCAGCATAAACCTACAGCACTGCCTTCCCAAGCTGCTGGGTCTCTCTAGTTCAGGCTGAGCATACTGGCTTTCAAATTGTACGGTTTTCGCTGACGTCTTCCGAAACCTGTTCCGAAATCATGATTTTTTCTGGAGGTCCTGGGATTAGCCTTGGTCACTGTGTAAAAACCGGCAAGACCACATGATACGCAGGCCGCCTGGGGCCTGCTCTTGTCTAGCAGTCCCAGGTCTGGGCCAGTCAATGCCTGTCATCTTTGCCGCTCGTGCGCTCGATGGCTTCTTCTGCGGGAACATGGGCGTGACTTGGAGTGAGGGAGATTGGGGGGATGGCAATAATCTACCATAATCTACTATAATCTATTATAATCTACTATATAATATACTGTAGAGGTTTTGAAGCTTGGAAGTGAGGGTTCTAGCCTGGGGGTTACGGGTTTCCTTGACTGCGGTTGCATCGTGTGGCCAAATGTTTTGCAAGTTGGAAGCTGAATGCACGTATCCCAAGGCTTCAGCGTGTAACGCTATGGTAACTATAGTATGTTATAACAATCTATTCTACTATATTATAGTATATTGTAGTATATTCTACTGTGTTGTAGTATTAGTAACTTGTATTCTCCTACCGCTGCTGGTCCTCCTTGCCTTCCTCGCTCCAAGGTCACACGAACCTACTTGGGCGAAATTGTCGACGAGACAAATGAGGCATCAAGAGATTCTGTCTACGGTTCTGAAAAGCATTCCAAATCAGTGACGATAGGCAGCTGAACCTGAACGGGCATTGGGCAAGGTTCTAAGCCCTGAGCTCTGTTCCATGCATGTACTGCTTGCAGTGGTCCTGACTGTCAGACGCATAGACGTCAGAACCCAGACTTTGAGTCTTGAACCGGACGAATCCCAACGCGCCGTCTGCAGACGAGCGCCGCTGATGCCCCCAGCCCTGAACCCTGACACTTGAACCACTGAAATTCACCGAAAACCCTAAACCCTGAACTCTTGCAAGTACCCTGAGGCCCAGGGTTTCAGCTTTTTGGCGCTGTGCTTCTCTGTGGGGCTCTTCCTGGGACCCATCCTTGGTGGAGAGTCCCTGGGCGCAGCAGATGATGGTGATACTTGTAGCTCACACGGTTGCTAGCAAGGATCCTAATGCTTTTGGTCCCCGTTTTTGGAAGAGCTTTCGGGCTGTAGCCTCTGTTGCCCCGGAACGTCCTGACCATCGTTGGTGATTCTTCTTCCCCAACATAAGCCCAATAATACCTTATATAATCCCCATACAACCCCTACATATTGGATAGAAGAATATCCTGGAAGTCTGGCTTAGTGGGATGCGGCATGTGTGTATTGTTCAGAAGGTTCAGAGTATGGATACGTCGTCTCCAACATGGAGTGAGACTGTGAATGTGTTTTCTTGTTTGTTGTAGTATGACAAAATCAACATACAAGTTTACCTGATTCAACCACACAAATGACGCGGCTGCTCATTGGTTTTCTGGCAAGACTGCTTTGCTGCAGCCAAGGCTAGTTTATCCGGCGCAGTGGGCGCCCAGCATTTTCGGAGGGTCAGTCTTTGATGACCATCCCTTTCTGTTGCCGAACCTGACGTATGCAGCCCAGCTTGCATCAGAAGGATAACACTCCAAGCGGTCATCAAATTTGAAGCGTAAAGTGGGTAGCAGTTTTCTCTTTGCAGTGCCATGAGAGGTGCTTTTGCTGTTTGCTAGCTGTTTCTTATTTGAATTTGGGATCGGCGGATTATTTCTCGAAGGCGAGCACTCCGAAATCAATTATCCATTGCTTCCCCAGCATTACTAACCGACAGGAAGAAGATAAACTCCCAGAGTTCAAACCCGAGCTACTTGGAGGTGGAGACCCTAACTGCTACGATCACTATGGAGGGCCAACTCTTGCACCTCTGGAAACCATCTTGTTACAACAGAGTACAGCATGGTTTGGCATCTGGTGCTGGACGTAGTTTCTCACGAGCCAAGGCCATTTTCGCAGCTATTTCTTGGCGACTCATCTGCAATCCGAGACCACAGGGGGGTTGACAGAGCCTGCTTTTGTGCTCTCCAATCGGACACCCTAGCATGGTAACCCGAAGCCACCAATAGAGGTTTCTGGGGCAGCACGCCTCAACCTTCGCAGTCCCGAAGTCAGCCCTTAAATCTGAAATGCTTCTTGAAGGTAGAACTTGAAAAAGGGTTGACCGCTTTCCGCTTTGTCAAGTTGAAGCTGCCGAGGTGCATTGGGGCTACCTTCCTGGAGGATGGGGGTTTCAGATAGACAGACAGAGTCCACAAGCCTTATCGGGACCATGTGGCCGGGTGCCGAATAAGGATTGGAAGGCCAGAAGCAAGTTTTGGGGGTTGCCTCGGATTACTCAACATCATCTCTTGGGAATCCTGAGGTGTCTGTATAACTTTATACAGTCTAAAAGGGGTCTGTTGCAAGGCAGAGGGCCAGGGGTGGGGTTCAGTGCAAACTTTGAGAGATTCTGCTCGTTTCAACAGTAAGCCATAGACTCAGAAGCAGGAGGCACATCCAGGTGGGGTTGTATAGGGGATAACATAGAGAATTTGGTTATGTGATAATGGAAAAGAAAGTTGAAACTACTATTTAGGGTTTAGTCTGCAATGGGGGAACATTGAACGTGCAGTATCAAGTGCAGCTGCAATTTTACCTCAGCCAAAAGATTGAAGGAAACAACAACAGAAGTAATGACCACGGCTACGCAGTCTCAGCAACCAAGAGGGCCCTATGGAGACTTCAAAACGGGCTATATGGGGTTCAGTGTTAGTTTGGGGCAGTGTAGGAGACGCTGCCAAAGAGCCAGCGTTGCATCCGAAGCCGCGCGTCGGAACCATTGCCGTCCCTTCGCTCAGCTTCGGGGGTTAGGGAAATTACGAGGGATGTTAGAAGGACTAGGGTAATTGGTGAAATCATATTGTTTAGGGCTTAAGACTGAGGTCCTAGATAACTAGAATATGGGAGAATCAAGTGGAAATCAAGATGGAGAATGACATGGAAACTGCCAAACCACGTAGCGAGATACAAGTTTAGAGTCGCAAGCGTATAGGCGTTGAGAGCATGGTGTTGGCTTTTTGGCCTTTGCAAATCCTGGTCTGCAAAACCTTAAGCTATGTAGAGGTTGAAGGGATGCAGCTAAACTGAACTGACCAAAGTCACACATTGAAACTTCGCTTACACATTCCTGCGCATGCTAAGGTTAGTCGGTCTGCGTATTTCTGAGTCCACGATGTGATTTGTAGCTGGGTTGGTAGCAACAGTAGGCGCCAGGATGACAGGATGACGCCTGAGCATTTGGCATGCAAGCCCGCCTCTACTTTCTTTTGATTTTTAGATACCCAAAGGCATACAAATTAAACCCTCTCGCTCAGAACCACGTGCAATTCAATTTGTTGCTGAGGGTGACCCCAGTCATGCGGCGAACGACGTCCGGAACAGACCCTTCAGGCAAGGGTTGAGACTTCAGACTGCTGAGGGTTAGGATGCTTCTGCACGGACAGAACCAAGATGATTGGCAGAACATGCGTTTGCAAAACAATTTTCTTAGCATTGGGTTACGCATTAGTCATTCATAGCCTGCGGGTAAAGGATGTCAGAGCACGCAATGCAATCCGTCTTTTGAGAAGGCGCTTCGATCTCTAGCACAAGCACGTCAGCCCGAGGGTAGCAGCAATGCCGTTATAGCTTCAGTAGAAGAAATTCCTGGCTCTACAGCGGTAGTACTCCACTCATGTAATGTCTCTTCCAGAGGCCTTGTGTTCCATGTCAAAGCAGTCGTGGAAACCTGCCACTAAGACCTGCCACTAAGACACCCGGCCCCGACAAGTCATGCGGATAGGTGCGCCTCGCCGGTATGTGTGCGACGAGGATGTCAATGAATCCGCCAACTCAGGACATGACTCATGCTAGGCTGACATGCACTTGGCGGATGAGACTAGGATGAGCCTCAGAAAAGACAAAATGGGTGGTCGTTTCTCTCGCTCCTGTCCCATCGTTCGGCTTCTGAAGAAGGAAAGTATCCAGCGGCAGCATCGAGTCTAAAGAACAAAGCCAACCAACAGCGATAATGGGACGCCGTGTATACATTCTACTGAGCGCATGTCTGGCTCTGAGAAGTGGCTCATGCTTGTCATTGTTTTGAAGGGACTTGCAGGTGTGGAAAGTGCCCTCAAATTGCTTCCCCGGCATGCTATCATGCAAGTCAGTGAAAGCCTCTGCTGGGAAAGGTGGTTGGTCAGCTCCTGTCGCGATCATGGCGCCGTCAACAACCCACACTCTGACGCATCTATGTACTCGATAACCCCTACATGAGTTACCTACAAGTCTGCACGCATCCTTGTCAGCGTTGCGCAGAAGAACCGGGCCAATGTTATGCTTCGTTCTAATTCCTTCACTAAGTTCCCCGATCCATGGCATCCCTAGCTACGATTCATGGAATCAGTCAGTTGAAGGAAGCATGTCTCTGAGAGGAAGTGCAGACAAGAAGTGCTATCCTATGACTACCATTCAGATCCTCAGCCGCAGCATGCCGTCCACCACTTGAGCAGAGGTTGGACTTCTGTCAAAATTGGGTTACACCTCCCCGCAAGATCCTCCTGCGGCAGCGTCTGTGAGATCTGAAGGGGAGGGGAGGACAGGTCCACAAAAGTTGTAGCCACCGCAAGGTACCATACTCGCAATTCCTCCTACTGGGCGGAGCAACCAGTGAATTGCCAGAATCGACGGCTTCGACCCAATGCCGTCAGGCTTATTGGATCCACAATCGCTCGATTGCTTATGAACTTGCAGACTTCAATGAGCAGGTACTAGAAGACTCCCGAGCAGAGCTCTGAGCGGCAATGTTTCACCCAATCAGAATCCCTTAGACCTGGCTCGTCAAAAGCCCTGGTAAAACGTGTTTTTGGGACCAAGGATCATGATCACATACTGTGGCTTGTCTGGTTGTGTGGCGGCGCAGAACCAGCTGATGATTCTTCTGGTGCCGGGACCTTAGCAGTTCGAGATATCTTTTGTGAAGAGACAGAGAGCTGTAAAGGGAAGTGGTCATCATGAAAACGAGTATCGAGCCACCAACAACCCTGGTGCGAACGTTAATGCTCAGGGCAGTAGGTCAGGAATCAGAATTTACATGAGTCAGGCCAACAATTATTTTTAGCAATAACAGAAGTAGTAATAGTAGTATTAGTAACAATAATAGTAGAAATAGGGGAGAGGCCTGCAAGGCTACTTCTAGTTTTTAGTGGCCCAGGATGCACAGGTAAATGAACAGAGTCTTGGTCAAATGCCTAGTCGGATGAATCAGATGTGGGTTTGCCTAATCATTCCATAAGCCCTTGAAAGGCCAATGAATTTTCTACATGCCTTATCATGATACTACGAGATAGTAGTAGTAATAACAGTAGTAGTAGTAGTAGTAGTAATAGTAATAGTAGTAATAATAATAAAGGCAATAGTAATAGTAATAGTAATAGTATAGTAACAGGGGAGCCCCGTTCCATACCTTCACAATAAGAAGCACCAATGGCCCTGACGTTTTGACCCCAAGGTCCTACGACCGCTCTGCTGACGGTTTTGAGTTTGGCCCTAGGGACATCGGAATCATTCAGAACATAGGCCTGAGGCGTCGAACAATCAGGCTTAGGGCATCCAGTGTGGGGGCTTAGGCAAAACACTCCAGGATAGAGTCTGCTTAGCGTCACATCGCAAGACAGCACAATCATTCTAGCTTGGAAGAGAGACTGTAATTGGGGATGAGCACCCCCCGTTGACTGTCACAGTGTCACAAGTTGCTCAAAAGGATAGATGTGCTAGGCAGCCATTCGACTGCTTAGCATGCGCTAAGTTGAAATTCACCGCTTCTGATGCTGCAGGAGACGTCACAATGAGAGTCAACAAGCACTGTCAAATCCTTGAACACAACACAGTAACAGCAATGCAACACAGCCTAGAGACATTGTGGGCAGAAACAAGTCCGGGTGCATTCAGGAAGTGAAGAAGCTATGCCCTTAAGTGTGCCGTTTGGCGCAACCCTTGTTGTCTGCACGCACACCTCCCAACTATGGCCTGACATCATCAACAGTTGTGAAACTGCTTCTCCGCGCCCAGGTATGTCGTATGGGTAATCCCTCCCTCTCAAGAGATTGGGGAATGGCTCCATGAATATCGTTCTTGACCTGAACTCTCAAGGTTTGCCTTCAGGCTATAGGATCCAATAGATAGACAGGGAGGGTTTCTGATTGCTTGTCCTGTAATTAGTTCCCTAACGGCATCCCATTCAATCGACGATTCGGGAGCTTGTTTGCAGGCGCGGTCGGTTTACTGATGTCTCAGCTGCTTCTCTATCCGACCCTCACCAAGAAGCTGGGCATCTGGGCCTTCAGTATTAGTCCCATCCAAGGTATTGGGGTTATATTTGGGGTATATGGAGATAATGGAAAAGAAAATGGAAACTACTATAATGGGTTATATAGGGGTGAGGGGGCTTTATGGTGAGTAGGCGTCAGGATATGTGGTTTAAGGCTTTGGGTTCAGGATGCACTGGTGGTCCGCCTGTCTGAAGAAACAATACTTTGTTGCGAAGGCCGATGTTCCTAATTGCCTATGCGGGAACTGTTGTGCTTTTTCTTACGCATGCCAGGCTCCAGAGCTCTGATAGGACTACGTGGAGATTTCTCTAAAAGAGGGGGCGCCCTTAGCAGTCTTAGGGTATATGGCAGCTGACAGAAGGTCGTAGTCGCCCCTCTTAAATTCTAAAGGCACATGGCGTATGCTAGGGCATGCAACAAGCTTGCATGTGAGATTCGATGTGCTTGGAGTCAAAAGATTCCATCAGCGTGTGCACAAAGACCCGTATCAGGACTACCCATGCCAGAATTCCACGTACAGACCTGCAGTCCAGTATTGCCAGGATTTCATGGCCTTGAAGTATCCAAATTTCGCGTGGAGCCATTTCACCTTAACAGGTCGAATGCTTTTGCCTCACGATTGCTGCAAGACTCAGAACCAGAACCGTGACCAGGAAGGCCCCAAGTTTCACTGCGCAATCAAACTCTTAAAATAAGTATGTTTGCTGCCGGCCTTGTGAAGGGATCCAGCCAAGGCTTCCTGAATACGTTTGTCATTGGCTTCTGTTTGTCCAACCTTGCCTACGGTCTCTTCCCGGTTTACGGCACCCTGCTGGCAACAAAGCCAATCTGCACCTGTGCAAAGTGGTCGAGGCTAATCTTGAGCGCTGCAGCTTTTGTAGCGCTAGCTTTGTGCTTATGGTACTGAGGTCTGTTTGCAGATCCTGTGGCGTACGGTCTGCACCCAAGGCTATAGCCTGGCTGGCTGAGGAGGTTGATCTAGCTGATGCTTCGGTAATTGCTAATGGCTCTTTTATGATTCATGGTGCCTCAACGCTGCACATCGTCCTTAGCTGCTGAGGCTCATGGAGATACCTGCCGCTGGGCCTGTGCCAGTTCTTCTATACTGCCGGCACAGGCATGTGCTACCCCACTGCCTTTGCATTCATCAACCGACGCTCATTTGCAACGTATGCCTTCTCAAACTTACCGGTCACTGCACTTAAACTTAGAGCCTCAGCCGCCCAGAAGCTCGAGACCCCGGCTGTGAACACGCGCGTGCTCGCACGTAGACTTCCTAGAGCAATCTGCATGCTACTCACCTTGAGGCCTGAAGGATCGCTAGTATAATGTGGAGAAACGACTTGTTACTCCTCATGATTGGAGCCCCCAACATGGGACCCCCCGAACTGCTGGAAACCCTCCCATCTTCCTTATAAAGCCAATCCAGCCACCTTTTGAAGCCTGGTGGCTTCAGGTGCCTCGGAGGGTCTGAGCCGCGGGGCCGTAAACGGCTGGGCGAACTCCAGCGGCTCCTGGGCAGGTTTGTAGGTGTCAAAGTAATCCCCATATAGGATTATGGGTATATTATGGGATAATATGGTATATTATGGGTATATTATGAGTATATTCGGGTCCCTGGGTAACCTTCGTCTAGTCCCTAGTACACGTGACACTATCGCCAAGCTACCTGGCTGGCTTTGGTTTCTCCGAAGACTCACACCTAATTTACCCTAGTATACCCTACTATAACCATAATGTACCATAATATCCCATAATATATTCATAAGATACCAAAATATTGTATGGGGTGTCGGTTTAGGTATTCATGGGCTGCCTTTTGGTTCCTGGCCTTGCAGTTGAGGATGCTCGCCCGCATAGTGGGCTCATATTGAGATTTGGGGCCTTAAGCGTGAAGATCCAAAGTTACAAAGATGGCAATCAGCAATCATAAGTAAAGCCTGCTTTGCGTGAGCGACGTCAGGAGAACTATGCCTGCAACTAATCCCTGTATTCTACTCCAGCGAGCCCTTTGCCGAGGTGCCCTGTGTCGCGCAGTCTTTCCGCCTGCAGCAGCTGTCTCCCGGCTCGCGTTTGGGAGCACTCTTGTTTTGATTGCTGCTGGCTGTTGTTGTTCTTGCTTTCATTTCAAGAAAGCATAGTTGTTACCGGGATTGCTTTGAGGTGTTTGCTCATATGTGCATTGCTGTGCTGTTGTCTATTTTTACAAGGTCAGTGAAAGTGAGCTGTTCTTTTTTACTTTCAGGGGAAACTCTGAAGGAATAGTGCAGCATTTACATCCTAAGGTCCTGGTTTGGCTCATGCAGGCGGTTCTGGGGCCCTTACAGGGATATCCTGTGACTGGAAGCAGGCCCATGCAGGCTGCTATCCAAATTATGGTCCTTGCTTAAGCACGTTGAAGATTCTTGGTTTTAATTTTTTGGTGGGGGCTTCAAGCAGACCGTGATTTGGACAACCACCCATATGACATTGAGGCAACATAGTAAAATACAGCAGAAGTCGCCACGCCACTTACGTGGTGGCGTTGTCAACGCATCTTTTAACAACACACGTCTTCTGGTGTGAGAAAGATGGTCCAGTCCCGCACAGGGCAACGAAACCAGTCTTCTGACAACGCTACTCCAACTGTGCTTGTGGAAGGAGCTGCCGTCTGACGGCAGACATGGGCGCAGTGCATCCCAACCCTAAAAAGCTTCATTCCACATCTGCCGCATATGGCCAGCCTCGAACTGCTGAGGTGCTGTTGGGTCAATGTAACCGTCCCTGGGCTGTTATTGGGGCCAGCATGGCTACCTTTCGCAGGTGCAGGGTGCCACAAGCTCTACCAACACCCACATGGCACGCGAACAATGCCAACTTAAACTACTTGACGAAATCGACATGTGATTCATCACGCACCACCACTCCCTTTAGAGAAGGCCCATGGAAAGCTACGCGGAGCCTGAAGCGCTTCAGTGCACTTGCAGTCAGTAGCCTGATGCGGCCGCATAGGCCTTTGCTATGTTTCAGGGGCTGTGTTCTAGGTTCCTTGAGGGGGTTCCTATCTCAGCAGCTGTCGCGGGGTTTCAGTCAAGGCTGTTAACGCCATAGGGCCCTGGTGGCAACCGCCCAGACATGCCATCATGCAAAAGCAGAGGATTGGGGCCATATGGCCGTTATATCCCGTTCTATGTCATGACAGTCATTGCGGTTCTGTCATTTGTGCGGGGCTCAGTCAGAGGTTCGAAATATCAGTGCAGCCTCTGCTGCTGCTGCTGCTGCTGCTGCTATGTCTGTGGGAACTGCCAAAAACATGACAGCTCTTAGGGCTCGCTTTGGACTTGCCATGCCTGAGGCAGTCTCTTGGTCCGGGCTTCGGAAAATCGATCAGACCAGCGTTCGAACGGTCACGTCGCAGCCCGCGGGTTGCGCCGATGAAGAAGACTGTCGAAGATCGCGGCGCGAGCCGCTGATGGAGAGTTAAAGCGTGAAAGCAAGATGTTAACATCCTGTAGACACTACCAGCAACTGTGTTGATGCTTGACGATATTGAATTTCGCTGTACGACATCAGCTTGATGGCTACGTGATGAGAGGCCTGCGTCAGGAAGATGATATGTGTCTCACAGATTCTCAGAGTGTTCATAGCCTCACAACAGACAGTTTGAATGAGCCTGAGACCGCAGCGCCTCCATCACATCATTGCTTTTCAGCATTTGCAGGTTGAAAAGAGTCGATGGGTCGGTTAGACCACATATCCCAATTCGCAGAGGTTTTCATCCAGGTTTTCTGGCTTGTCGCAACCTTTCGGAGCTTGCTTCCCAGAAGGTCGCAATGCTCCACAGTGAGTGATGAATCACAAGCAGCAAATTGCAGCGCCAGATGCCCGGACTTCTGAAAATGGTGTGGCGTGGGGCTCGTATCGTTTGTGTATGTAGGGCTTATAACCGCCGGACTCTTCTCAGGGAAAGATGCTGCCCACCAGCAATCCTTTTGAATACTGGGCACTGGCGTTTTGAGGCTGCTATGTAGCTTGATTCGAGAGTGTACAGCGTACCGTGCAGTTGCACCGCGCGTCAAAAGGCTTCATTGGCAGGCTTGCTAATTCCTAATTTTTTTCGCATTGGAATGATAGGACCAGATTAGATTGGAAGAAGGAGCTAGCTGAAGAATCTCCAGTTCAGCATCCCTGAAGAAGGGATCCTGTACAAGGAATTAGGTGTTTTGGACGCCAGGTCAACCGCCACAGGAAGTTTTGGGCAAGGACACCCACCATCCCCTTGAATCCGCAGATATCCCTAGGGTTTTTACGGCCGTATTGAGGGTCCAGGTTTTTGAGCCCTCAGAGTCTGCCAGGTCTACTACCTGAGCCTTTTTGATGGTCGGACGCAGTGGGAGTGGTCTGCCTCTGAGGTATCTGTTCCTGCTGCGGTTCCCTTGCAGACTTTCATGGGACTTTGCTGCCTGTCTTTCTTTTTGACTGTGACGGAAGTCTCACCACAACGTGGAGAATCCAGAATGTGGTGACGGGTCATGCTAGAAAAGCACCTAAGTGCATGCGAGAGGTTGTTGGAACACGTCAACTACAAGTACAGAAGGAGCTGAAGGAGTTTGTGGGCTCAAACCGTGAGAAGGTGCTCAGTGCTGCTTCTGTTGTCCAATCGGAGAACAATACCCCTGCTGTTATCCTTTTTTACTGTCTGGCAAGTAGGCTTGGACATGGGTTACAAGCAGGACCATCTGAACAATAATTCAATAGAATCCTTGCTGCAAGCACCCTGAACGCAACACTGTTACTTCAGCTATCCGTTGTTTCGCCCGAGGCCCACGGAAAACGCGGCGGCATTCCAACAGCGGCTGGAGGCAGATCCGGACTGATTCCCTTCTTACCCAGCTCATAAGGCCCCTCACCCCTCACCCCCTTTCAATTTTTTGGGGTGCGGGGCAATGCCATGGACAATACGTATGTATACTTCAGAAGGGGGATGTTCGACATCAGCGAGAAGGCTTTTTGCAGTGTGGCTGGCTAGGTATGGAGCATGTTGTGGTCTACGGCTTGTGGGGAACTCTCAGGAACGCATGTCGTTTCGTGATCGATTGTTTATGCAGGTGGAGGTATAGGGCACAAGAATCCAAGCAGAAGCAACAATTCGGCTATCTTTCAGGGCCTTGCATGGATTCGGCACTGACATTTTCATTCGTTCTTACACATTGTTGTTCGGATTTACCGCCGATTTGGCGAGTTGGAAGGAGATCCTGGCCATAGTTTCATTTTACATTCCAGAAGGTCTCCTCCCTTCCCTAAAACGCCACATGCCCAGCTATATCACTTGGCTTTTGGACGGTGGATTGCACCCTCGCCGTCATCTTATGTTCAACATCCTGCTGTCTGTATTTGGGCTGTGGCTATTTTCGGAACCTCAGGAGTTTCTCCGTCATGAACCATCCAGATCCTTATGTCGCACAAGTGAGGCGCCTGACGCGCATGAGCCATGCTTGAAGATTCTGGCTTGGAGCGAAATTCTGCGCAGATGCATCTCCTTGTCGGATTGCGTCAGTCATGAATGTAAGGGTCTTTAGCTGGTGTTGCGACACCAGCATCCCAAGTGTCAGGCTTCGTACCCGGATAAAGGACACGGCCACTTCTTGGCCCAGGCAATAAGTGAGTGCTTTCACTTGAAGAGATCTTAGCAAAACATTCTTTACAAGCATTGCAGATTCCGATTCAGGGTTTTTGCAATGGCTCATCGTGTTTCTGTTGGAGCCCGCCTCGGGATGGAATTAGAGACTTATGATGATGGAGCTACAGCTAAGGCCGCTAAGGGTCACAAAGAGGTCACTGGCAGCCTGTACGTCATGTTCAGCCGAGTTTTGGCAATGCTGATGGCATTCTGGTGTGTGCCAAGTGCCAGAGGTGCTGGCATTGCCATGGCCGCCACTTTGGCATACCTTGTGGCAGCGTTTCTAGGCAAAACTTGGACAGTTCTTAACACGCGTCGCGTCAACACGATATTGTGCTTTGCTATCAGCTGTTGGTTCTGGGTCTTGTTCTGGTCCATTTTTCTGCATTGCGCCACCCGGATGAATGGCTGGGTCCCTGGTTTTCGGGCCCTTCGGCCAGGCTACCTGCCTGAAGGATGTGACACTGCCAAGCTGGTTCAAGATATTCTGCAGATGGGTGACTTTGCAGAGGATACCGTGCACTGGGATGCAGCAGCCCAGCGCTGCGACTGCCACCTTCCTGATCGTGATGCTGAAGGGGGCCGCTGCAAGTCCAACGAAAGCGAGCAATTTCCACGCTTTACGGTTGTAAGCGCTCTGATCGACGCCGGGCGGCGTGACCGCTCCGGCTGCGATTACTTGCGTATGTTCGGCCCGCATCTTCACCGGCAGTACGATCTTGTATTCTATGGAGAGGCTTGGGCTTTGGAGGTGTTGTTTGCGGTGCGGACCGCGCTGGGCCTGCAACATAGAACCCATTTGCGACTCTTGGAGGTAGCAAAGGATTCCGAGGAGTCTGCAGCCTCAAAGTGGGGCAAGCCAGCAAACTTGGCTTTCCACCACTTGCTTGAGGAGATGCAGGTCATTGCCGACAGGAAGTATTGCAGGTATCTTCTCAACAGGTTTCACGCAGGCGTTGGCGGAAAGTTGATAGCAAATTATGCCTGGGTCACGAATGAGAAGGCAAATTTCATGGCGCAAGCATTACAAGAGAACTACTTCCGAAATTCGTCCAGCAACTTCAACTTAGGCAACAGCTATTTCGTATGGCTGGATGTTGGGGCTGGCCACGGTGCTCTCAAGGTGCCCGAGCACTTCTGTGCCTGCAACCTTGCGGTGCCCGGCACGGTGACGTTGTTCCACCAGCTCCACAGCAAGGAGGAGCTGTTTCTGGGCTCAGATGAAGCCGCGCGGCGTGTACCTCAACCGCTACCTCTTGGTCAGCTGACATTCAGCAAATATTTGTCAACGTATGACTTTACGCATCATTTTGATGAGGTCATGGGCACATTCTGGGGTGGCGACCCTGCGGCCCTTGAGAAGTTCTGGCAAGACTACTCTGGTACCGTCCACCGACTTGTTGCAAATAATGCCATTGACCACGACCAGGCGGTGCTTTGTCTTGTCGCGTCTGGGCAGTGGGAGTGGTTGCGGTACATCCCAAGCAACTTCTATGGAGTCCTGCACCTCTGTTGAAGCCCGCGACTGGGAAAAAGGGCTGCATCAATCGAAGGCATGGTGCGCCCCAAGACAAAATCCCTATCTTATACATTCCTACACCCTAATATAATCGCTACAGACAGATGCGGTGCTTTGCTAATTTTGCAGCAAGGAGTCCTAGACATGTTGCGTTTATGTTTTCCCCGCCGTAGTTGCCCCCTCCCCCCTTCCCGAGTCGAGTCTAATACGGTGTCAAATCCAAATATCTGGTCTGGGCAGATTTGATCAAAACTGGTCATTAACACCTATCTGGAGGCCGGAAGTTCACAGTGCGCATGCCAGGCCCCGCAATGTCATGTCAACAAGCGGATCAAGTTTTGAGAGCCATAAGTTGGCTCACACCGCGCTTGTTGCAAACGCGCCTATCCACGTCAAGGTTCCCACAGCGACAAACATATAAACCAGATCAGCCAAAACGAGGAGATTCCCACCTTCAATGAGGCCATGACTTATGAAAGAGTTTCCTGCAATCGGTTTGCTCCCTCGAAGTAATGCCTCGCAGACACGCCAATCTGTTGCTTCACCTCCCACTTGATCTGGCAGATCCTGAACTCTGGGTCATGTGAAGCCCTGTGAAGCCCTGCGGAAGTAATATGTGCTCAGGCTGGGAGTCATGCATTGGACCAAGATGCTTTCCAACAAAAAACATTGATGATAAACACTATCGTAGTAGCAATGGGTATTGCCTCCAGCTTGTTGCTGGCACTTCTTACTCCATACTGAGTCCTACTCTCGAGCCAAACCCCAGACCTGCAAACCCCAAACCCCAGATCCCAACGCTGAATCCTTAAACCCCCAAACCCTCAACCCGAGATCCTGAACCCTCTGAACTCTGAACCCTGAACCCAGCTACCAGGAGCTTCCAGCACCTTCGCCCTCCGGCCGCATGCTGGCGCTGCCTGGCTCCACGCAGGACGGTGGCTACGCAACCTGCCGCTTCTCAAACAAAAAACTAGTGCGCCCCTGCCTTGGATGATGTTGTCCTTACTGTAAGGACCTGCCCAAGAGAAGAACCCGTGATGTGACCTCAGCTCAATTGAGGTAAGTTCGCCACTCTGCTCATCTAGTCCCAAATTGCTCGGGATGCTTCAGACGTTTGTCATTTGGGCCAAATCCCTCGTTGTAGATCTTGCAGTCCAATCTCGGGGGGGTAAACGCTGGTTCATCCCACCGAAAGTCTTTGCCACCTGATCAGAATTCACATCAAGGGCCCATGGATGAGGCAGTCGTTCAGGATTCATGTGAGTCTGCCATCTTGCAGATTCTCAACCTTAAACGGCTTGGTGCTTTTCAAGTTAGACCTGAATTATCATACAGGCTTGCCGTGGGCAGTTGGACCTAGACCCTCTTCCTGTTCAGCATGGAAGCCAGAGACGCCACTCCCGGTACGATCTCATCATCTTACATTATCTCTGTGGACCTCGAACCATCCGTGTAACCCCTGGGGGCATCACCGAACTTTGTGGATACCTTTCAATGTCAGGAGTTCCGCCAGGAAGATGACGATGAGATGAGCCAGTCTTCAGAGGAGTCTTCTCTGGGACTGGCCCTCGATGAGGTCACGCAGTTTGTTAGGGATATCAGTTCAGGATTGAGCGTTTGGGATTGGGGGCTGAGGATGTGGGATTTCGGGCTTGGTGTTGTGGGTGTATGGTTGAGGGGAACTGATGGCAAACGTGGAGGTTTAAGAATTGCTCTGAACCGCATGGGGTCGATAGGGATTCATCTGGGGCAGAGAGGCAAAGCGGGACATTACCTAGGGGAGAGGTGCAGATCATGCTTCTTGAGTTCAGGGGAGGATGCACACGTTCAGCATCGTTAACTGACGCGAGTTGGGGTGTACAAATCTAGACAGTTTGTAAGGTTTGAGGTTTTGCGGCTTCAGGTTCTGCATGCATTGCACTGAGGCGGAGCGAGTTCAGGCCACCCCTCCAGGTCTCATTGGTCTTCCATCACCACTCACCAAACTTCATTTGAGTTTACTTGAGATGCAGCAGCTCCATCTTGCTTAGGGTGCGGAACCACAATTCAAATTAAAAAGCCAGGATCGGCAAGAGGCCGCTGACATGAAGAGTTTTGAAGTGACAAGCACGAGCATCATGCCGACTGCGCAAATGACTGGGATCATTAGTGGCACCGGTTCTTTACTTGGCATTTGGCAACTGTGCCTGGAAGGTTGCCTACTCTTTGTTTATTATTACTATACTATTGAATACTACTATTATTATTGCTGTTAATACTGTTACTAGTACTATTCTGATAGTCCCTACCGCAATGTATCCTCAAGTTCAAGGGACCTCATAGTGGAAGACCCTAGCCAAACTGGATTTCAACGACTTGCAACCCCTGTCTAATCCTTGGACGACCCCTTAGCAGTTACAACGCCCTTGTCTAGCGCTTCTGTGGTAGGGGTAATAGTAATACTACTAATCGTGTCATTTGCAGTGATACAGAAAAAAAAGGCAATATGAATAATAGTAATACTAGTCATGATACCAGTCGTATGAGCAATAACAGTGAAATATGAAACTGCAGGTTGATGCAAACGACCTCCTTGCCGTGCCACCTGGGGCGGAAAACGCTGAGATGACTCCTCGGGACCGGGAGTCAGCGTGCTTGATGAAGATGTCTATTGGGACTATAGTCCCCCTTAAGTAGATAGAACATGGGGTATGTGGGGATCTTATTAGAATATACCCAAAGCCCTATTCTATCTACTTAAGGCGGGCTATACTCGTTATGATGAAGTATTTCGCATGGCTTCCAGAGGTAGCGCCCGCAGTTGCGAGGAAGTAGTTGTAATTAGTATTCTGATGGCAAAATATTAATTTTGGTTATGGTTGTGACCCAAGAGTTGTTGTTATTGTCAGCATGATGTCTATTGTCTTGGGAGCTTTCCTGTTCTTGGTCAGGGTGAAGGTTAATCAAGGCCGGGGAGTTCGGTTTAGAAGTCTTTGTTTTGAAGCTAAAGACCGAGGGCATACAAGCAGAGCTTTTTGATGGAGAAGAAGTGGCGCACCATCATCTCGTAAGAGTGCTTCGTATCTATCACATGTAGGACAAGGTTTGGTGTGGATATTGCCTTCAATGCGCGGACCAGGCTGGCATACAGCTGCCACGTCAAACAATCCCCTCACCAAGACTGCACACAGCGCTAGTCTGGAGTCGCTGAAGATCTCAGCCTCTATGAACTCAAGAGTTCAGAGCCTGGTTTGCTACACAATAATGTCACCGCGTGCCAAGTTTAAACCTGGAGGCGGAGGAAGCTGACGACGCGCAGCCGCAGAAGCACAGAGCTTAGCACGGTTCAGCATTCCAGCTTCGAAGCAGCTCTGCCTTAGCCTTGAGCCACCAGGAAGATCTGGAGACTGCACCAGGAAAGCCAGCTCATGCCCGACCATCAAAGTAAATTCTCAACCTCTAGCCTCATCCCAAAAGCGAGGTGGGGCGCTGACAAGCGCGATGCGGAGTGGGTGAGCCTGAAGAGGCATCACTTTGGAATTTCTATAAGGGTGTGGTCTCATGGCCAACATCAGATCCACAGTTGCCGTAATGGATAAGCTATACATACATCCCACCACTCAAACTATAAGAGTTCCATTACAACGGGCAAAGGCATGAGCAGCGAGCCTGACCAGCTGTGTGGGACAGCGCCACTTCAAAGTTGCGGACCGGCATTCACCTGCTGCCCTGAGTCACGAGTGGACACAGCTAAGTGATTCAATGCTCACAATTTGGACTGCAAATGCATAAGATTTGCGTATACCGATCTACACAAGCAGAGCAATCGAGTCGCTTCGTGAGGAACCCACATAGGTCTATGAGAGAGCTGCATGGGTGACTGCAATAGAAACGACGAGTTTGTCTCCCCACCGTTCATATGAAAATTCCTTGATAAAGCCTGCCAGCGATGACGGGAAAGAAGCTTCAATAGGCAATGCCTGGCGACTGTTTGAAGATACCCCTCCTCATAGGCCCAAGCATGAGAGTTTGCCCAGACACAGGGCATGTGCAGATGCAACCGCGCCAGGCAAATGGCAAGCCAGAAAAAGGCGCACGATGAACGCTCGAAGCCTTGCTAGATGGGACGACTGCGCAGTATGCTGATCCTGCTGCAGATGCGCATGTGACAAACATGCTGCATTGCCTTTGAAGCTTGAGGCTTGAGGATTTCGTGTTGCAGCTGAGGCTGGTTGACCGCCAGACACTTCCCAGGCGTACGCGAATTTGCAATCATCTCAGCCTCCAACATTTGAGCTGCACAGATGGAGCCAAAGCCCATTGAGCATCAGCAGCGCATGTTGCTGCCAAGGTTAGAAAGTACGAGCTTGCCAACCAAGTCAACAATTGGGATAGGCCTGTACCAGTGCCAGCACATAGCGCAATGTTGTTTAAGGCCTGGCTTGAAGTCGATGCGCAGCACTGTTCAGAGGTCACAGTAGCTAGGTTCAACCAACCCGCGGCAACCAGCATGTTCGCTTGAATTGATTTCTCGTAACATGCAGAGTAGGAGTTCCAATAGAGAGAACAATGACAACAACAGATCAAAACGCGTAGCGATACTAGTATCGGCGGTTTCCTTGTTATTGCTGCAGGGCTGTGGACAACGTCACATTGAAGATTGACAACATGGCACGCCAGAGAGGGCAGCCAGCGTCTTAGTGCAGCTGTGATGTTCATATGCAAGGCCGGCTGTGCCCACCTCCGGCTTCTGTTAGTATCGGTTTGTTCTCCGGTGTTTTGGCTTCTACGCTTAGCAACCATTCGAATCAGCAGTAGCAGTAGCCTCACAGCTCGTAATTTACCAATCAAACATCATCGAGCATTGTGCAGTACAAACAGGCTTTTTGTGATGGCTACTATTGCCATGGATTGATTATAACTTTTGTGGCTAAATGCTTTGCTCCATTCGTGTCGATCTGGCGCGGACACTTGTACTGAGGCCTGTGCCTGGCTGCATTTAAAGTTGCTTCTAAGAATACCATGTTCTTCTCCTTTTGTTTGCAAGGGCACAGTTTTTTGTAGCTTCCGTGCTGCAAAGAGAAGCCGCTGGTGCTTAGCATTTCTCGCTGCAACGGCTGTTGTTGGCCATCCTGCCAGCGACCTCTGTGCGCTGGCCTTGCCCAAGGAGCTTTCAACGTGGCAGTAAGCGTCCGCCCCGCTGAACACATCAGCAGCTTCATCAGTTGTAAAGTTGTCATGACACACAGCTTGCCCACGAGCGATATGCAAAGGTCCCATTCTGTGCCCAAAGCAAAAGAAGAGAAGCCCTTTTCAGTTGCCAAGCTCAGACCGAAATTTTACAGCACTGCGAAACACTACGCCCTGCTCCCCAGCCTGCTTCATAGAAACCTTGCGTATAACCTGTCCCGGACCGCTGGCACCACCGTTTTTGCGGTCATTCGTGTCAACCTGCTAGCCCTCCTCATGCAAGGCTTGGAGTAGTGGCTGAGCTGCGGAAGGAGGATCATATTGCTTACGGATACGAAAGCACTCGTGCGAGCTGCATGCTTTCATAAAGACAATATGATCCCCCAAGACTGACTTGGAAGCTTGAGCCAGTCAACATTCACGGAGGCGAACATGAACAACATGATCTTGTTTGTTTAAACACGTCTTACCGAGCTGTGGCGGAGTTGCTCCCCAGCATGAGCGCGTAGACAGATGAGTTCTAGGAGTTCGTGACAGCGGCAGGAGCTGCGCCAAGTCTTCCCTATCATCCAGAGATTGCAGTGGACAAAGTGGTCTAGCAAGGAGCTTGGAAATGTTATGCTGAATTTGATGAAGCCGACTGGCTAGTGACTCCTCGCTGCATAAGCTGTGCTTTGACAATCTGTTGCCGCTTAGGCATGGGGATCTTTTGCCACTGCGTCATTCGCGAATATCCCCTCCAGGCTTGCACATACCTAAGTTTTGCAGTACTTGCTTGCACGTCGTGTCATGCCAATGCCAGACCGATTCAATTATTTGGTTCATCCAGTTGCCCGTTGTGCCAGAATGCCCTCGCCAATGTTGCACGGCCCACAAAGTTCCACCGGACTTTGCTGCGTGTGTCTCAGAGGGGCCTGACGGAAGAAGCAGTGATCTTGAGCTCTCAGAGGTCAGGCAGGGATTTCTGGAGGAATGATGGCCTCGGTTGTTTGCTTTGCACGTTCACCAGCAGCAAATGGGTTGCAAGCCCCAATCAGTCTTCCTACGTAGCGCTTCTCGACACATTCTGCCTCGGGCTTGATTTGCTTCTTCCGGTCAGGACTACTGTCAAAGTTGGCATGAACCAGAAATGGGCGATGCGGTGGAGCAGCAGCAGCAGCAGTAGCGGAGGTCATAGCAGTAGATTCTGGCGCAACAGCAGCACGAGTTGACATCTTGAAAAGGCTCAGGCCTTCAACCGGCGTTTTGAAACAAGTCTCCGTAAGTCTCCGTTGGAAGCTGCGCCGGTAGCTAGGCCCTAACCAGAACTCGAGGCACATCTTCAGTGTGATTGCCAGTCTACTGGGAGCCTGCATCATCGTCACCTTTCCGGTCCGTAGCTCAAACTTGTCAGCAGTTTGCGACAATTTCGGCTGTGCGTGCAAGACTTGTCATGAATTCCTGCGCACAAAGGCAAGAATACGTAGAGGATTGAAGTCCAATCCGCCACACGCTCCAAATTGCAGGTGCTTCGTGATAGACATGCCAATTCACTCTGGCAATTGGTGACAGACCTCTCGTTATCACGGCTGCCTCCATACAGCGCAGGGTTAGGCATGCACCAGTGCCTGCGAGGTAGACGGAGTATGACGCTGGAGTATGGTGATAGGGAGAAATGTTATAGTTGTTCATCAAAGGCTCCCGTGGACGAAGAAGTGGAAGCAACCAGCAACTTGGTGGCATCCGGAGAGTAGCTTGCGAAGGAAAGCCGAGAGACCATCTGCTAAACCCGTCTGCCAGGCGTTGTTTTTGCAAAGTTCTCATCTGACAACGGTATTACAAGCATTGAGTGCTCCACGAGCGGGTAGGGTCTGTCGAGCACACATCCCATAGCATGCCTGTGGCTTCTGTGGTGCTGGGCATTGTTGATTTTGAGGTCTCGTACCTGCAGAATCATGAAAATTGGATGAGATTCTTGCGGAAGGGCCTACAACAAGCCCGCAAAAAACCGCCAATAAGACCACAGTAAAGACAGGGTGCTTTCTAGGGTAGCCAGTCTCCTCGTCGTCAATTCGTAATCTCTTCCAACCTGAAGAAAGTTCATCTGCGCGTTGCAGCCCCACGTTGAACCATGTCTGGGAAATTAAGATGATTGCAAATGCTGGTCAGCAGACATCGCCATCTGACCAAACCTTCACTTAACAGAAAGCTCCCCCAAAAAAAGATCATAAGCTGCGAAGTTTTTCTTGAGATGTCTCTCAACTAGATGCCCTCAAAGCTTTGCCAGCTTCGGCAGGCGGCGACATCAACCCCCAAACAACAAATCTTTACACAGGCTCTCAATTTTTATTTTGGGAAAGTATACTGTGTGCTACCCAATATAGAGTAAGATTACAGGGTTTAGGTGTAGGGTTGAGGGATATCATGGTACCCAATAATGTAGAATAAGAACATATCCGCCTGCTGGAAATAGTTTTTCATATTTTACACAAAATATTCTTACTTGGTTCCACCACCAAAAGCTAAGCCTCATCGAATTGAGGACGGTATCCTTGACGGTAATGATTCCGAGAAGGGCCCTAGTTTTTGAAGTGGCCATCTCAAACGGAATTGACCGCATTGAAAGTTTGGGTAGGCACCTTTGCAAGCAGGATCATATTTATTGGGGTGATGGTTGGCACATGCGTATGAAGCCTCTATCCTCGAAGGCCAGCCAAGAGTGCGGATGCCCCGCAGCTCATTGGTTGCGCTTGCACCCACACATTTTCACACCTGGCCGAGATACAGCCACCTGGGACCTGTTCATGCAAGCGCTGACGATGCCACGCGCCAAGTCGGAATTGAAAAGTCAGAATTCCAACCAACGCCGACAGCTACGGACGTGCGTAAACAAAGCTGTCAGCAGCTGTGGCATGCGGATATCCCTTGTAGCAATTTGGAGTGTCCATTCAGAGTCACATGCGCTCTAGATGGATCGGCCAAAATGAGTCGCTGCTCCTGACGGCAGATCAAGCCATGAAAGGACGGAGTGACCCGCGATCCCAGGCCGATCACCGGCAACACGATTCTCTGCGCTTGCATTGGCAGTCTCTTCCATGCGATTGCAGGACGCTCAGAGAGATGGCGTTTGGCTGGATCAAGGGATGAAATACGTAGAAGTCAATGGAGCTCATGGGTGCGTTGATCAGTTGTCTTTTTTTTCACATTCAGGGGTTGCGCAAAAGGTCCTTGAACAAGATCTAATGGGAAATGATTACAAACAAGCTTAGGAGGCTTCCTGCGAAAGTCCGCGATGGTGTTCGCGAAAGCGACTTTTGATTTTGCGAAAGCGGTTATGTAACCTGCAAGCATGTGCATGCATAGCTCATGTCATCATCTAGTCTCCTTGCTCATTCATTTACTGACAAGCCCTGCTGCTAGATGTTTTCCGGAGCAGCAGAAGCAGCATTTCCATGTAAGATCCATAAGGAAGCAGTCGCCGTAAAGCAAGAGCCTAGCTTAAGACGGCTGGCGAAAAAGCGCGAACTACCGCCAGAGTCAAAGTTGATCCTGTAGCCTGCGGCCCACCCATCAAACCGCAAATGGTGGCTTAATCGCGATGTTCCAGGATGTGGACTCCGGGCCTGTAGGCTTTCTATACGTTCAAATACTTTCTTTCAGATCGAGGCTAGCTCTCAAAGTTTGGGATTGATTCTGCTTCCAGCATACCTTCGCGAAACGCGATTGTGTTCGCTGTTTTTGAAGTGGATTTTCGGATTTCTGCGAAAAGGTAGTTCCTGGATGAACGAGCGTTGAACAATAATCAATAGCTGCCCAGACAGGGTGTCTTCCCGGAAACCCTGCAGTGTCCCGAACTCCCCAAGTTTGAAAGCAAAACTCAGCCCGAGGTCAAGCCGGCTATCCTCAGGCCATCGACTTGTGATCAGCCATAAGAAAAGTCACAGCCAGTCACAAGCTAGCAAGTAAGGAGGGAGTATCCAGGTGAATGCTAACGGAGGGAAAGTATGCACTCCAGCTAGAAGCACATGTGGCGGTCTTGCAAGATCACATTGCTGCTCGGTGGAGGTTGTTCTACCGCTATGCCATCCCTTACAACACTCGTCCGACGACCTCCGTGGAAGCGAGGAGGTTTCAGCTCAGGCAGACTGTTTGGAGCCAGCAGAGTATGCTCCAAGATTGGAATCACAACTTTTGAGGGGATGAGGGTTGGGCAGTAGATAGACCATCTCTGTTGACGAGGGATGGAAGTGTGCTGTGCCAGAAATTGTGACAAGCAAGCTTAGTGGCTGAAGTGACCTTGAAGCGCCAACTGCTCGAACCCGGCCCTGGTTCAGCTCTTTTAGCTGTGCAGATACTGGCACGAGTTAGCAGAGATGGGGAAGTGGACTTGCCGGGTGCCTAGCCGCTTCAGCACGCCTGGGCTTGACACCAGAGATGGCCCGTTCAACTCTTGAATCTTGCGGAGTGTCTGAGCCAGTCTCCAGCGCACTGACATGACTGCAAGTGCCCAGGCATTATCGGCAGCATCTTGGGTTTTGGCGCGGTCGTGTCCATGTGCATGCCAGGGCCTTGGGGGGGAGGGGGGGGGGTTGGATTGTGGAGCGAAGGAAGCCATCATATGTCCTTGTCCCGTGCTTGGCATGTTTGGGCAGGAGCATGGACCAAGCTGACTCTCATGCTTACCGTAGCCTTTGAAAGCTCTCCAAGCCTCACAAGCCTTTGAACCCTTGAATGCCAGGCTCTTGCAACACAGCACTTTCGTCATCTCACGTCTCAATTACCTTGTGTGTCCCTTCTTTTTCTTTTAGTTGTCTTATCACGGTTCCTGCTTATGTTCCTCTGTTCCTCGTCTCACGACTTGCACCGGCAAGCACGCACCCAGGCTCACACCGCAGCCACGAGCCGCTGCTGCTTTCCAGGCCTTCTGGTTCAGCCTGCGTGGGGCTCGGAGCAATCATGAGAAGACTCGTGATAGTTTTCATATTAAGTAGGCAGAAGCAATCATGACATCGGCATTTCATAGAAGAACCAGCCAGAATGGGGCCCTTGCAATCGGAGATCAGGTGTTGAGTTTGGAGTGTCAAAGAGACAGGGATGCACCAACAAGCACTGCTTTTCCTTTGCGATTCTGAGTTCGTGCCTTACTACGGGCGGGTCTCGAAAGTAGCATGAAGAAAGTCTTTGTTCAGATGATAGCTGACCGAAACCCCGTCCGCGCCTTTGAGCCGCGCCATGCGTTCCATAGGACATGCACGATAACCAAAGGAAGCAAAGAAAAAACCATATAACCCTATTCATAAAACCCCAATATGTCCACATATCATCCAATATATATATATAGTATATCCCTATAAGCCCCTATATACAACTGTATAACCCTACATACCCCTAGTGCAGCCTGGGCAGCTTCTTCCCAACCCATTGCTGTTCAGATCGAGTCTATGATACTACTTACTGTAGGGGTGAAAAACACGGATGATGGAGAATCAAATGGAAACTATAGGGATTATCAGGGTTCTATAGGGTTTATATATCCACAGCTCAGAACCCTAAAGTCTTGACTTGGAAGCTTCTCACAAACAGGCTGCTGGAAGAAACGACTAGCCTGCCCGCCCTATTCATCAACCTAAACCCGAAACCCTAAAGCCTGACTGGATAGAGCCCAGGGATCGCCCCTTTCAGCCCAGGATGTTCACCCACTGGCTGGTGCCCTTGCTGAAGGGAGGGTTTTGTGCCCTGGTACTCATCGTGGCGCGGACGAAGGCCCAGGGATTCGAAGGTTTCAGAGACCAGGTCAAAAGATTTCAGATTGGAGCACGGCTATTACTATCACTATTTAGTATTATTAGTCGTATTATTACAAGTATTGTTCTTACTGTTCTTACTATTACAACGAGTAGTATCAAAGCTGGAGTGGGAGAGGCCTCTGGGACAAGCTTTGAGAAGCCAAGTGTGCTTTTGTTTCAGGCTTGGTTCCTGATCCTTTGAAAGGCAACCTGCTTGGCCTGAGTCCTGTCGGGTCTGCACCCCACAATACCACTTTGGAAATCTTTATCGAGACCCAACCTCTTAGGGTCGCGCGACTCTTGGTAGAGCACACACTGCTGTCCTTGAGAACACTTACTGGAGAGGCCACATTCGATGGCTGGCTGACAGTTTGGCCGCGACTTGGCGATGTGTGAGATGGGAGCAACACACAGGGCAAAATTCGGGGTTCTGCAAAGCATTCGCTGTAGAGCGTGCTGCAAAGTTGGCTGCACGCGCCATCAGAGATAGGCTTCTTAAGACCTCCTGGGGTCACAATTAGTAGCTTACAGGGGAAGGCAGTACTGCGGTCATATGCCAAGATGCGAATTTGCAGCAAAATGCTCTGCTTAGGATACCTTGCCAGAGGCAAACGCCTGCGTTTGACCTGTGGGCTGCTAACTGAGAGCAAATTTGCAAAACTCTTGGAAACCTAAATCGGGGGATCCTTGCCTCAAAGAACTAGCTACTTCCTTCAACTACACCCTCCTATATCCTTGCTAAGTTCTTGGGCTCAGGAGCCTCCTGAATTTTGAGCATGTGGGCGTGAAGACCACGGAGTTCATGGCCGGGCTCCCGCGCTTGCCAAGCAGCTGTCAGTCGAATCTGCACCCTACTTTCCTATAACGAATTGTGTTAGGGACCCTAGCTTACCGGCACAGAAGCTCAAAAGCATAAGATGAGAGCCACAGAAGCAAGTACCTCCACACTTAGCCGTCGGAGTCAAATTACGTGATGGATCGCAGAGTCGACATGACTCGACACATGTTTTGCGCCATGCCCGTTTCCCACTAATTGATGTAGGTGGCATTTCGAGGAGGAGGAGTACGCAGCATGCGTGAACAGTAGATGCTGCGATAGCTGCGTGTGGTACCATTCATTGTATATAGTTTTCGCGCAGGTCCACTTGGGGGGGGCGAACGTACAAGAAGACAGTAAGTGAGCAGTGTAAGAGACATACATTAACATCCCTGCTGAATGGTTTGCTGCCATATTGATTATCATGTTGCGTCTGATTTGTCTTATTGTGCTAGTATTAGCATCGTTGCTGCGCTACTATGTGGCTATGTTGCTGCACCACTGCAGCAACAAATATTGAGTGTCATAACATCCAAAACTACCGAGGTCTGGCGAGCCCAGCGAATAGTCGCCGAGGAGGAGCTCCTGCTTCAGGACGGCCCTTGGCGGGAGGAGGAACAGGAGGAGGAGGAGTTAGGAATAGGGGCTCCACCCCAGAACAAACATTCGATGTGAAATGTCAACTGATGTTGCACTTCGCTTTCACGAGGGGTAGGACGTGCGCAGCTCCGAGTTCCTTGTGCTGCTACTCCTTTGCTAGACTGCGCTAGGGCTTCAGATTGCTTAAAACTGGCCAGGACAGCTCTATGGATAGGATTTGCAGACAGTTAGTGTCCGGGGAGATATCTACTTCATGCTTCAACAGCCAGGTGTGCCATCATGAGGGTATGTCGAGGGAATAAGTTTAGAAGAAGAACCTGCAGTGACCTGGAGGTCTACCCGGATTTGCCCAACATCGGCCGGAAGGCAAGGGTGTTTGCATTGTTTATGAAACAATTTTGGCTACCATGTGTTGAAAGAAGCCTTCTCAAGCACAGAATGAGTTGGCAAGGTGACTGTTTGTAGTGTCTGAGGTTGGAGGTGTAGCCTTTCTGATTCCATGAATGAGGTTTCTGTTAGCCCTTCAGGGTTTTTAACGCGCCCATCATAGCCTTCCTTAGTCAGGGCATCATCTCGAGCTCAAGGGCAAAGCAGAGGCTGACAAGCAAAAAAGTTTTGCTACGACCTCTTCATTCAGGTACGAAGTAGGAAATTCTCTCCCAGAATGCCGACCAACCCTCAAGCAAAAGGCCCACGAAGCGCAGGAGTCAGGCAATCCGGGATGGCCGTACATGCACCTAGATAAGCCCTTGACGCAGTGAGGGATCATGTTTGGCTTTTTTTGGTAAAGGTCTTCACGGAGACAGCCTTTCATGAATCCGTTTGCACAGCTTACCACGTTCGGTATGCATTTCCCAAGACTGGGCACGCAGGCGCTCGCCATCAACTATGAGGTGTACTTACGTTGACATGTTGGTGGTATCAAGCCTTGTCACAGCATGCACGCCCTAGCAAAAGCATTCCCCACAGTCTTATGCTTCCTTCATGTCAGACAAGGCAGATCGTGCGTTGCTCGAGCTCTGCATTCCTCTGCAATTGGAAACACTATTCCATCAACAGCAATGCAAGCATCCTCCATCCCTTTGCCCCAACAATGAGCTCATAGTTTCCAATTTACATGCCGAGGGTTATCTTTCATGGCCTAGAACAAGAGCCAATTCTCATTTTTTGCCTTCAGACCTTGGCTTGAAGTCAGAATCACCCCTTGCTGCCCAGATTCGAGACCCAATGGAGGAGGAGGAGCTCGGTGGAGCGCAGGACCGGGTAAGTTGGTTAACTCCCTCTATCTGGTACTTTCCATTTCAGTTTCCATATGATTTTCCATTATAGTAGTCTTCAGGTGATGCCGGGGCTCAGTTTCCAGGTGCATGAGGGCGCAAGTTCTCTGCCAGGATCCCAACCAGTATGGTGTCGCGAGCATGGCCTTGGAGGACGGGGTCTGTTTTGTTTCTGAGAACATGCAGCGACTGCAGCATCAGGAATATTGGCCTGAAGGTTCCGCAACCTTTTTCCCTCCGCTTGGGTTCTGGCTCCCCACGTCGCCAACTCTGTCTCTGTCCAGCGTGGAAGTCGGAGAGGGAGTCCTGCAGGGCTGAACGTCGTAAGACGTCTAGAAGCCACTCAAGCTTCAGATCGTGGAAGCTTGTTGGGCTCAAGACCAGAGAAGCCTGAAGCCTGAACGATCCGTGGGGGGCTTTGGCTGGTTGGCAATTCCGAGTCTCTTGTGTTTAGGGGTTTGCAGTGTGGACTCATTCCGCAGCTGTTATGAGCCCCAAGGCATCCCAAGGCAAGCCAATCCAAGGGCTGAGTTCACAGGCCTTGTGTTCGTACGTGCTGTGAGCCCTCATGTTCTTGATCGATTGTCTTCTTTTGTCAGCATGTCTAGCTAACAGCTTCATGCCGTAAGTGGTGAGGATCGCCGGTGAGGCGGCCTCAGTGCCCGGCGAAGAGTGCAAAGACGTTGTATCTGTTGGCCTGGGCCCCGATCCCCACTGGGCTGAGAGCGTGTCAGCACAGACTGCAAGTCATGATGCTATGCCAGTTTGCGATTCTTTTGATAGGCGGTTGTCGCACTAACCTGGTAGGAGCGTTGAAGCTCGCTTTCAGGTTTCGGGGTCTGTCAGCGCTTCATGGCTGGGATGCAGCAAGTAGCATATGAGAGCAAATGCTTGCAGTTGCAGAGGTTCTTGAAGAATGCGCACGACAAGATGCTGCACAGTTGTGTTTCATGCTCAGCATTGTTGAAGCATGCTAGTGAGCGTGGCTCTGATTAGTCGACAGTTTCACACCATCTGCGCGACGTTGACGAAGCTTCGTCGCGCAGAGTGCATGTGCCTTGGGAGAGTCAGCCAATGGACCTGCAGTCCAACAAGGCTATCAAAGTCCGAAGGCACATTCCAGGATGACTCTCCGTTCCGAGTAGGAGGACGCGGCACTTTTTTGGGGCTAGGCTACGAACAGAAGCAGTCCGTGCCATGAAGCACAACTTATCAGGCTCGTAGCGCTACTCCTATAGACTTCGCAGCCTCGGCCCCGCCGCACAAGGGCAAGTCTTGCACAGACTTTGTTGTTGGGCTGCTCTTTTGAAGATGAAAAATGTCAGCCGCTTGTTTTAAGGGTGAGCAAAGGTTTCAGGTTTCAACTCAGGTCGGCGCTGTCCAACGCCATCCTGGTTTGACTGCTGCATCTTTATCCACTGCATCACTGCGTGCATTTCTTGGGACGCAAAGTTTGAGGTTGAGGCTAGCAACTTCTTAGTCTTCACTGTTAGAAGGATTTACAGGAAGCA